ATCATCCAAGGCTATAGAACACGGTCTGTCCTGCTATTTACCCATAGCTGGGGGCGGGAGAAGAAGAGGATTAATACCTTTCCCAAAGGTATTAGAACATAAGTGAATGCAATGAATTCGACTGGAATTCGAACTCCACTCTCCGATTCCTCAATCAGAACCACTATCCATTACTCCACCGTGCCTCCCCACTGAATATAAAACCTGGCATGATAGAGTGGGCTAATATCTGCACTAGGAAATATACAATTTTGAAGCGAAGGAAACTGTAAGAAACTGTTAGGAACATCACCCAGATCCAGTTACAGAGATAGGACCTGTAACAATTTTACGGGATTTTACAATATACACAAACCGAACAATCAAAGCTAACCGCCCAGACATCGTGAGCAATGACCACAAGAACGGGATATGACAGAGCAGCCCTTGTATATTGTAATATATCTTTGAAGATCTTCAAAGACTATCAAAATACGTGGACTTTGAAGTGGAAATCTGAAAAATGAGGACGTCAATAATTCCGGTTGTAATTGGCGCCCTCAGATTGATCGGAAAAGGTTCCAATAGACTCATTGTTGGGATTCCTTAAAGAAATGCAAAAAATTACTCACAAGTACAGCTCACGCATTACGAAGATCTTTATCTATGTAAAATGTGTGTGATCTTAGCTTTTTTGTTTTCTTTTACGAAAATGATCAGTAGCAAATGCCATGAAGCCATTTCTGACCTTAGGTTTCTGGTTAGGACCCGGAAAGAAATGTTTATACAGCCGAAATCAAAGGAAATAATAATACTAATAATAATAATAATGACAAATAAATAATAACAACAATAATAATAATACAACTACGACTGATAATACATTATTTTTGTCACAATGTTCTTGGTCGATACAGTCTCCGGTCTTATATTGCAACGCTAAGGTTGAATTTTTTGTGTGAATAATTCACGTAATATAAATTGAACTGCACCACATATCTGATTTTAAAAAAAACCGATCCAACGTGCAAATTTTCGGGATAACAGCTTCGACATTACTCTATTTATTGAACAATTTAGTTTGTACCACATTAACTGATAAACTCCTACAACAAAATTTTCAAATTACCATATTAGTAAAAAAAACGCACTCTCGTAAATTTAAAAAAAATTCAACCTTAGCTTTGCGACTGAACACTACATAAGTTTTTATCCGTTAACAATAACACATTTCTAACAAAAACATATTTCCATTCACATTTAATTTTTCGTGTCCGCTATTACAAAATAGTATAAAATATTACTATATATATATATATATATATATAAAAGAAATATGTTGTAGTGGTTCCAACGAGAGAAAAGTATGTATATTAAAAAGAAGAGGGGTGCCGCAAACGTTTTTGGTTGTAATGTGGATTTATTGAGAAAAAATATTATACTTTGTTTTACATAATTTCACGACACGTGTTTCTGGTCTGGTCTCGCAACCGTCTTCAGGTGAAAGTGGAGATTTTTAATATGTGAAAATCATTGTATTTGGTCACCCTGTGTGCATGTTTTTTTTTTTGGGGGGGTTATGATCTATTCAGTTCGGGTTTGAATTTGTCTATAATTTTTTTTTTCCTGTATTTGTAGATACGAGTAATTGTCTGTTTAATATATCGGCATGATATTAAACTTACCCTGGTTACATTTGAAAATGTGTTGTGAAACAAAAGTTTTCTGTTGTCTGTCAATTTTATATTGCTTTTGGATAGGGGATGATCGCTCACATACATGGACGCACACTCATATACGGGAGACACGAGGAGATATATATATATATATATACACATACATACATTTATGTATGTATATGCGGATGTTGACAACTTAAGAAGTGTGTGCATGTGTGTGTGTGTGTGTGTGTGTGTGTGTGTATGTATGTGTGTGTGTGTATGTGTGTGTACTGGTTCCATGTAGCTTGGGAAATATGTGTGTATATGTGTGTGTACTGACTACTTGTGGTGGGATAGTGTGTATGTGCGTATGTGTGTATATGTGTATAAGTACAAATAAGTTTACGAATTCCTCGTAGTAGGGAAATATACGCACGCATATATACACGCATGCTGACAGGAACACGCCAAAATAGAAACAGATCCAAGAGCACATAGAGGTCACTAAAACATTAAAAGATTAAATGCCGATAACTACTCGCTGGACAAACCTTAATTGTTTTATGACCCTTCACGCAGAACTCTTCATTGACAATTCTAGAAAGAAAATTCGGATTGCCAACACACAAACAGAATGTCTCATATCGAGAATATTCCACATTGAACATGAAGAAAAATTAATTATTTTTAATAATATGTAAAAATCTCCACTTTCACCTGAAGACGGTTCGAGACCAGACCAGAAACACGTGTCGTGAAATTATGTAAAACAAAGTATAATATTTTTTTCTCAATAAATCCACATTACAACCAAAAACGTTTGCGGCACCCCTCTTCTTTTTTAATATATATATATTTTCTCTCGTTGGAACCACTACAACATATTTCTTTTTATATATATATATATATATATATATATATATATTATTTTAATAAAAATCTTTAAATTTCTGGTT